ATTATTATTAATTTTATTACAATTATCATCTGGACAAGAATCAATTCAGAGCGAGTAAACAAATGGATACAGTTTGCTGCGGGCTTTACGTGTGTGCTTAGTCCATCAGCAGATGGAAAGTTTTGTTAAGAAATGTGTAAAAATAAATATACAAAAAATCATCAAAACTAAAGTAGAAAATATAGTATACAAAATAATACGACATAATACAAAAAAAAAACCTAACAAGTGCCAAAAATTAGATGAAGTATCAAATAAAAACACCGGAAATTTTGCATATAATCCGATTTAAAACTTGATATTTATCACTAAGCTTAAAAATTACGACATAATAAATTTTACTACATTCACATTATTTTTTAGTGTCTTCTTAATGTTTTCACATAGATTGTAAGAAAAAAATTTGCAAACTAAGCATGACCTTCCAGGGTTAAAAAATGGTTTATTGAGTTAAATTTTTGTTAAGAAATGTTAATAAAAACCAACAAAAGTGAAAAAATACCAAAATACTATACAAATATAGACTTTTATAGACAGTTATAGACATTCTGGATATTCTAGCAAGTTTAACTGTTCAGCCCAATTTTAATAACAAGAAACTAACCACCACTTTATATGCTGAACCACTGAATATGCCCACTCACATCCCTCTCCCTACGGTGCAAACCCGTTGGATTTCGCCTCGCCCTTTACCTGCCGTAAGATGACAAGGAAGCCATTATTTAGAAATAGTTTAGTAAGCTGCTACAATGAAACAGTGAAAGATTTTCGTTCGGTTTTCCTTTTATTTTTTTTTTTAAGTAACTTTCTGCAGTCGAAAATTTTCCAGTATTTAGATATAAAATTAATAAAAATGTTCTATGTAGTTCCATGTTCAATAAAAGAAATATTAAAAAAAATTTAGACTCTGGTATATAAATAAACTGGTTTACCCTGTAATCGAAACCTCGAGATTTCTAAAAAAACGCCTAAATATATTTAAAAGAAAACGGGTTGAAACGCCCGGTTTTTTTTTCATCGCATCGGGTTAGTATGCCCGGAAAAAAATTTTCTCAGCGGGGGGCATTTTTAAATTTTTTAAACACTATCTATCGTCTTCCGATATTTAGCGACCAATGTATGGCGAGCCACCGCCGCTTTGTTGGTACCACGGCAAAGCAAATTAAAGCAGCTGGTATTCAGCGGTACAGCGCTATTTCCCAAACCCGCAATATCTAAGGATATGAGCGTTCCCAACACTGAAGTCTTCGGCATCTAATTTCACAAATTTTGGGTAGTCACACCCAAGACCATACATTTAAGAACGAAAAATTACCACAAAGCTTAGGGAAATGATGGTTTTTATCTTTGTCATTTTTAGAAATTCCTATACGTATCTCAAGTTGTCGAAAAGCTGAACCCAGTCTAAATTTATGCCTCTTTGTTAAGAAATAATATTATTTATGGAATTCCATCACAAATGTGTAGAAGGTAGAATATACTTCATTTTCCTAGTCTTTTTCTCGCCGTTTCCTGCTGATGTTGCTGCTGCTACCGCTGATGGCTCTGTCATTCAGTCATTGCACACAGAACAGCTGACTTTAAGCCGCGATAACCTCAATGACCGACTTTATTGTGCAAATTATACAGATAGTATATACTCCGCGCTCGTTCAGTTCAACAATGATAATTCAATTTCATTTCAAGTAAAGAATGAAACTGAATGAAAAAAAAACAAAAACAAAAACAAAAACAGAATTATTGTTTTAAAAAAGTACAAAAACTAATGCTTTGAAGGCATTTGTAGGAAAGGAAAAAGCCAAAGCGCACAGTAAACAAAAACAAGCGCCAGAGGGTGAGAAAAAATGCAAGAAAAAAAAATAGAATAAAATAAAGTAAAATAAAATAAAAAATAAAACTAAAAAGCGTACGCTAAATGCAAAGCTGAAAAGTCATAAAATAATGAAGAGTATGTCCGCTTATCAGCTAACGACTGACGGACCAACTGACTGCCTGACGAGATTTGACTGACCGCATAATATTTATAAGCATGATGTACTATATATACATATATATATGAGAATCGCTGCTGGCAGCCGCAGATTTCAGTGCGCTCGACCCGAAATGATAAACAGCGGAGTTGTTGTTTTTAACGCAGAACCTTTGGAAAACCGCAATTTAATTAAAAATTATTGCAATGACGTGATTTGTATATTTTTTCTAGATTAAGCTCTTCTTCGCAAAAATATGGAAAAGGCGGGAGTAAAAGAAAAAAATTAAACAAAAAGTGCTGGCCTATCATTAATTGGCCTATGGACTGATATTAAAGAGCTTTGTATAGAAAACATGGCTTTTGTAATTTTTCTTATATTTTGTGTTACAACAACATTTTACGCACGCGTTCGTCTTTGTTCTGAGTATTGTTTACAATTTCGCACTACATTTTTTTATGCATATTTATGTATAGTGGCGGTCAAAAATGGATGAATGGTGTTTCGTTTCTAATATTTGCAATGTTTTTCAAGCTGAAAGGTTTTAAATATTTTTTACAAAAATATGATTCATGCTTTAATAAAAACCATATAAATCACAGTTTCAAACTTAATACAGAACTTAAAAAAAAATTAGCAAATTTGTATCTAAATTTCGAGCTTTTTAACCAGAATTTTTATATATTTTTTTTTGTGCATGCAATAAACAGGCAAAATGTTAGTAAAATAAATACAAGTTTTGATCAGCTAAAAAATCGCATTGAGTTTTAATATTTTTTTTTTGCTGGTGGCTTTTGCGGTTTTTTTTTCACAAAAAAAGCGAAATTTTGGTAAAATGGCGTTTATTTTTTTTTTTTTTACTTTTTTCGCAAACGGTCTTGCTCATACTCTTCCAAAAGAAATTCATGATTATATAGAAAAAAAAGTGCAAACGCCGTCAACTAAAAAAAGAAATTTTAAATCAATGCTATTTTTTAGCAGCACAAAACTTGCACTTATTTTACTAAAATATCATAAGCCAGTTAACTGCATGCCCCAAAAAAGTTATAAAAATTTCGGTTAAAAAGCTCACACTTGAGATAAAAAATTTTGGAATTTTTCTAAAATCTGTATAATGTTTGAAAGTCCGACTTATATGGTTTTTGTTAAAACATGAACCATTTTTTTATAAAAAAAAGTATCAAAAAAAATTTTGCTTGAGAAACATTGCAAATATTAAAAACGAAACACCATTATTCATCCACTTTTTACCGCCACTGTATGTTGTACACATGTTGTGAAGTTGGCCTCGAAGATATCAAAGCTTAAAACAATATGGTATGTAAGAACGTGCCTATGAATGGAAATACTCTTATAATCACATGAATATTAAGTATGTAAATATTAAAGAATTTTAAGAAAAATTTTACAATTCCAAAAATAATTGGGGAAAATTTCGGCAGCGCTAAATTGTTGATATGAAGTATAACTTGCAACGGAAATGTATCGAGAATTCATACACGTGTACAAGAAAACAAATTCCGACAGTGGGAGGCTTGAAAAGAAATATATAAAAAAAAAATTGGCAAGAATATTTCGCGAGTAATGAACGAAAAGACGAAATGTCTTAAATGACGTTTTATTTTTGGAAGAAAAAAAATAAAATTTATTGAATTCATTGACACTAGCGGTAGCCAATTTTGGCAAACAATGGCGGAAATGGAGCGCGCAGTGTGCTGTAAAGGATAGAAAAGTTACCAAAAACAAAAAAAAAAATAAATGTAAATACCTATAAAATCCGTAGCAAATAATTATGTGAAGAAATAACTTTGCAATTTGGAGAAAAACAATTATATATAGTTAGTTGAAAAATGTCGTCGTGAGATCATTCAAGAGTTCTGTCTGTATTGTTTTCAATATTTTGCTTAAGTTTAAATAATTCTTTAAAACTTGTGCCTTACCAATGTTGAGTTTTACGATTTTGTTTTGCATAAGAGACTTACCTATAAAGAAACAAGAAAAAGTTAAATTAAATATTGTACCAAAAATTTAAAAAAAAAAAAATATTTCAATAGTTTTGGTTGTTTTTTTTTTTTTTTTTGTAAATATCACTTTTAATTTTGACCGAATTTTTTAAAATACATACAATTTAAGGATATGAGCGAAAAACCGATAATTAAAAAAAATTTGGTCCTAACATTCTAAAATTTATTGAAATGTTTTTTGAGGTTTGAAGGTCTCTGGAAAGCAATGGAATTCTGAACATCGTAAAATTTTGAGCCAGCAATCAAAAAAAAAAATCTGAATATAAAATAAGTACTCTTTGCATTAATGCAATGTGTTTTAAATTTCTATTAAGTGATTCAAAATATTAAAAAAAAAAAAAATAAACAATATTAAAAAAACAATATTAAAAAATAAAAACAATATTAAAAAATGAAAGCAATATAAAAAATTAAAACACATGTACAAAAAATATGCATACACACTACATATGTACAAAATAAGAATCTAAAAAACCATAAAAAATACTAAACAAAAACTAATAAATATAAAAACTTGCCAAAGTAAATAATTAAATTTTCCTGAGTTATTTAAAAAAAAGTTTAGAAATTTCATTTTAATATTTACTTGTAGTATATATTATATTTTTATAAAAAATTTGCGGAAAAAAATTTCAAAAAAAATTTGTTTGCATCGATTGTGTAAAATTCTCCGTGCCAATAACACTCTTTTCGGCAGTGTAAGTACAAAAAATATACATGTATGTATAAAAAATGAAAAAAAGAACATAGAAAAAAATAAAAATATGAAAAAAATAAAGCAAAAATAATAAATATAATACCAAGGTGAAATAAATAAGCCAAAAGTCATTATTGTGCCGCAAAAGTTCAGTTTTAAGTTTCTTACACCTCTTTGAGTTTGGAATTATTTCTCAAATTCTTTTACTCTTGCAAAATTTCAGAGCTCAAATCTTTAGCACGCAATTTTTATACACACCATTTTCTTTTATTATACAATAAATTTTTCATAAAATCGCCCCACATTTACCTAAGACAGTTTTAAACTTGCGAAACATTTTGTTCCAGCTGACGCAGGATGCGACGGACAGCGACTTGTTGCTCGCTGTTATGCGCGTATCTGCCTGTTGGCGGCTCTCGCCCAATCCGGTGGCTGCTGCCAGCGCCTTCTTTTCGTGTCCAGCACCTCCGCCGCCGCATTTGTGCTTACAATTACTACTTTGCCTATGCTCCTTACAGCTATCATCACAGTTTGTCGCATCGTCTATGACATTGCGTTGTTTTTTGGATGCCATAGTCGATCCATTGGTAATTGGTTTCTTGTCAGTCGTGTATGCAGCAGTGGCGGCGGCATTTGACGTTAACGTTGTGCGCCTCTTACGCTCGTCTTCGCGTTTACTTTGTTTCCTTTGCGCCTTCTGTTGCTTCTGTTCCTTTTCCTTCTGTTTGCGTGCGTATTTCTCACGCAATTTCGGACTGCCGAACTCGTCCAGATAGTACATGGTGTCTTGGAGGCCATCCTTCTTGTTGATCAATTTCGAATCGATATACGGATCGTCGGAGATTTTCAGCAGCGGGAAATAATAATTGCCATCAGTGGCCAATACTTGTGATTCGGGGTTTGTGGACTTAGTGGCTGCTTGCGGTTTGCTACTACTATTACTACTATGATCTCTAGTGCTACTACTACGATTATTGTTTAGGTTATTATGATGATTACTACTGCTAGTGGTTGGCTTATTTGTTTCATTGGCTTTGTGGAGGGACGTAGAGTAAGTGACACTGCCTACCGGCGCTGAGGCGCACTGCGCATGCACGGACGATTTGACGCCCAAATGGTGGTTAGGAGCCGAGGCATCCTTGGCGGCTTGCAGGGATTTGGTCGGCACAATTTTGCCGAACGAACCGTTGAGTGTTGTAGCCGCAGCGGGCACTGAGACGCTGCCGGACTCGCCGACAACGCCCGAGTTGTTACCCGAATCGCTGCCACTGTCACTGCCGCTATCACTGTCATCGTCATCTTCATCGACGTCCACATCCTCGTCATCGCCGACTCCCACGTCCAGCTCATCGTCGTCCACGTCAACGTCCTCATCCTCATCACCAACATCGACTACATCGTCGTCATCATAATCTTCGGGTATGTCCACCTCTTCGATGCGGTCCTCGAGACCCTGCGTGCAGGTGCTGGCGCTACTGCGATACTTGATGCGACGCCCACCGCTGCCACTACTCAAGCTCATGCCAATGCCCGACGAGTGCTCCGACTCGCCGCCATCTTCTGAGTACTTGGAGAGCGACAGGCCGGACGAATTGCCGCCCAGCGACTCGCTGCTCGACGACGAGCATTGCGTTGACTTGAGATGCTGCTGCGAGCCGGCAGTCGAGTCCGCGTCGCCATCTACGGCCAATGCGCCACCGCTACCGCTGCCATCGACGACGGCATCTATGCCGCTATCCTGCGAGAGCAGCTGCTTGTTGGTGGGCTGCTTGAGCTTCTGCAGCTGCCATTTGGCGTTCGAGCCATGCAGACAAAGCGAATTACAGCGGGTGTCCAGTGAACAGTTGTTCGCTGTGGTGCGATTCTTTTTGACAACTGCGGCCACATAAGTACTGGATGAGGAATTGCCGCCAACAACGACGCCACTGTCGGCCGAACCGGTGGACACTTGACTGGAGAAGCGCTCGAGCAAGGGTATGGTAATCGGCTTGCTACTGCTGCTGCTGTCTGAGCTGCTGTGGCTGATCAGGGGGGCGCTGGCCGGTGCTGTTGTTGCCATCAGGGTTGAAATGGTGCGCGCAGACACTTGCTCTTGGTGAATTGGTTAGAAAGTTTCTGTTGATGCTGCTGCTTTGCACTCTTTCTAGCAGTTTACACTGCACTTGTGGCGGCTTAGGCGGCTTTGTTATGCGTTGCCCGTTTTGCCTGGCTGTTCACACTTTTCGATTTTGGGTTTCTCGATTTTTTGTTTCTTTTATTTTAAAATGTCACTAATTGGCTTAACAAACTCAGTTGTAGAAAAGCACAGTTTGGAAGGCACTGTTTCAGTTGTTGTTTTTGGGTTGCAGTATTTCGCACTGACACTGAGGACGCATGCACTGAGTGTCCTTGATTCGGTTTTATTGCACGCGGCGCACAAATTTTTCGAAAATTTAATTATGGATATTTATGAAAGGAAACGTGGCGTTTCTAAACAGTCACATTGCACTTGTTTACTTTACTGAAATAGTATAGCCATATTAAGTACTGGGAAATACGCAAGCTTTGGCGTTATTTTACGTATACAATTTTTTGCGTGTTTTTATGAAATCGATATGTTTTTAGGTTTTCTCTTTCTAAAATTTGTGATAAATAAATTTTTATAAAATTTCACTTCAAAAAAAAAAAAATTAATTTTGCTCGACTCAAGATTTCCAAAATCTTATGATTATGTTACAAAAACACTTCTCTTAAGTGTTGTTGTTCTCGTTGCCCGCGTTTTCTGCGTATATATTTCTCTCATCGGCCGAGCGTTCTGTGGTTTTCTTACTGTGACTGTCGAATACTGACTGGCTAACTGACTATAACATGTTGCCGCTCATATTGTCACGATTGTACTAAAATTAAAAATTAAAAAATGCGTTACCATACATACGAACGTCCGCGCGCTCGCACACGAACACGAATGCGAGGAGCAGTAAACTCATACCAGAGCACTTACTGCTCACACGCAAACATTGACCAGCAGCACAGCACACATATGACTGTGTAGCTACGGCGTATGTGTAAAATGTGCGCGAAATATTTTCCCCCATCTGCACCCGCCAGCCTCCATCGCTATGCGGAGAGGCGCATTATCCGAGTAGCCGTTCGTGGAAAACAGAAAAGCGAAAGTTGAACTCTTGACGATTTTCCAAGCGCACATACACACACGTGCACAGGGGCAAACTAACTCACACACACTCAAACGAAGACCACCGTGCAGGGAAACCGCGAACTAGTTGAGTCGAATTTCTAGTTACGTACTAGACCTTTATAGCCAAAAACGAACCCGGTCGATTGTAACTAGATCCCCAACAGTTCAAACTCAGCGTAATGTGGTACTTCAAAAAACTATTTTATATCACTTTTTCATTCGAAATATATGTATGTATGTATGTCTAGAACTAGATCTTATCTGTCGAATTTAGAACTATGTGTTTGGCGGATTTTTCGTTCAAGTACGCTTTCATTCTGCACTTCGCAGATGCTTTTTCATAGTTTGATAATACAAAAGAAAAATTTGAGTTAAAATGTCAACATCTTCGGACCTTCTGGAATCTAACCATTAACAGCAAACACCTCTGCAACCACACGGAAAACCCAAAAATATTGAAAAATCATGATACTTTTTTCTTTCGTGTGTCGATTTTAGAAGTAGTTCGGAACTATAGAATTTAGGGCTAGTTCGCAATATTAAATTCGTCAGTTGCTGGCATGCAAAAAAAAATTAACGGGCACTAGTCATGGTTCTAAATTCTCTAGTACACAACCAGTTCGACACTAGTGCGTTTCCCCATAGGGCAGCAGCGATGACGAGAGGCCACGAATGGCCACCTAAACCACACAACACAAATAGCAAACCAGTGGCAGCCGAATGGAGCACAGCGCGCGCGATAAGCTGTAAATGAGTTGCGTGCGAATGCTTATTTCACTGTGTGCGTGTGTGGAAAAGCCGAAGTGCCTTTTAGTAGTAACGCTACGACAGGTAACACAGCAACACAATTTACGCGAAGCTCAACACTTTGGTGGGATGAGAAAATTTTTTTTATAAATACATGTACAACTACTACTTAAATGAGTGCAATGCAATGAATGGAATTAACGGAAATTAATGGCAAACAAGAAGAAAAACGAAAAAAAAAATTAAAATAAATTGCAAAACATTAGCGGCAGCTAGTGAGTAGTGTATTTTTTTATTATTTTTTTTTTGTTTGTTTGTTGGAATGCTTAGTGGGCGTTGTTGGATTATATATGAGGCAAAGAATTCACATTGCAGAAAAAATAACCTTTTGCATTTCTTGTAATGCCAACCAACAAATACCATACTTGATAAATTCCAAAAAAAAAAAAAAACCCTGATAAGCTGTAAGTCTATGGCCCAGCTGACAAGAAACCTCTGCTGCTGATAACGCCGAGCGAGCTTACATTAATTTACGTATTTAAGGGTATCACGGCCGCAGCGCATGTTTGTTAAAGGTTTTACATAAAGAGCTTACACCAAAGTACGTAAGCGGCAAATATATTTTTAATTAGGCCGATTATAAAAGTATTTAGTGCGATTCCACAGAAATAAAAATGTAGACAAAATATTTTCATGGTAAGACAGTTAATAAGCAGCTTAGTGAGTGTCACGTCACATGATCTTAAAAGCAAATAAAAACGTCTATGTAGATTATCGTTTGCAGCTGCTACGACAGTTGAAAGAAATATGTATATAAAATTATCGATAATAAAGAAGAAATGTATCGATAATAGACTTAAGTACTTACTAATACCGAAAACACAATGCTTCTGGAAAAAGATGATCGATATCACAAATACAAATAAGGATAGCAAATAAAAATTTTCGGTTACAAACAACAATTATCGATCACAAATAAAAATTATCGATTACAAATAAAAATTATCGATTACAAATAAAAATTATCGATTACAAATAAAAATTATCGATTACAAACAAAAATTATCGATTACAAACAAAAATTATCGATTACAAATAAAAAGTATCGATAACAATAAAATTGTTTTAACAAAAATTATCTTTACCAAATAAAAAGTATCAATTTCAATTACAAAATTTTGATTACAAATAAACAATATCGATAACAAATAAAAATTATTGCTGACAAATGAAAATTACCGATGAAAAATAAAAATATTCAATAATTGACATAAAAATACCGATTACACTAATATTACTACCCACGTGATGATACATTTGAAAAAATTAGCGATCCCAAAGGACATAATAACAACGATAGTAATTATTACGGTAAAGATAGTCAAACATCGAAAAGCTGTCCATAGCAATAAAAATGGTGCATTCAGATCGTATTTTTTGCATTCGAGTAAGGTTCCGTAGTAATACGTAATTACGTAGCTTTCGGCAGAATATATTTGACTTGACTACTACTTAACTAAATGACAGAAGTTACAACCAAGAAAAAGAAAAAAATCTATGGAAAATTGCGGCAACAGAGTAATGGTTAACGAGAAATGGTAGTCGGGCAACCAAAGAGGCTTATCAGGGCTTTACTCTTTTCTCATATTCAAATTTAAATTTATATTTCGCCACAAAGAATGCATACTGACAACTTTTTCTAATTAAAGAGGCTAGTCCGGAAATCTTCAAGGCGTCTTTCATCATACACGGCCTTCTGCGGAAGTGAATATACCTCGTCGTGTCCATAAAAAAGGTCTTACTCTGTGTTTATGGGTAGAGGATTTTTAGCACACGGGCAAATTGATAAATTCCGCCCAGGAACACAACTTAGTAGTACTATTGTCGAGTTCGCTTTGGGAAGAATTTAGGTTGTTAATATATTTTCTTTTCACGTACAAAATACAGACCAATCCTCATTCCCATCCTCCTCTCCCTTTGTTTTTTTTTTTGTTGTTGTAGAGAATTAAGAAGTTATGCGAATTCCCCTAAAAGCACTTGGAACTCATGAGTTACGTTAGACCTTCTAGAATACGATATTGCCAAAGCCAATAGTGCACTTCAGCTCTACGTTGGGCTAGTATTGTTCTGTGGTAGAGTATTTGTAAAGTGTTCTAGGGATCCCCTGGACTCACTAAAATCCAACTCAGGATGGTTACAACAGCAGTTTGTTTTAACAAATGGCCAGGAGAGCACTCATTGCCGGTCAGAGGTGTTGAGAGATGGGAAAGCTATCTTTGACGGCAGTCCCTAATTAAACACATTCCAGGCGTTTTAATTTTCTAGCCAATTAATAGCTTGTTTACTTAATTTTCATAATTTGAAATTGAAAAATGTCACAAGTACGTACTTCAAACCTAAGAGCAAACAAAGTTGTTTAAAGATATGCCATCATCATCTGTGTAAGAAATCGGTGATAAGTGCTCTTCAAACACCTGAAAGCAAATGCCAGTTCCAGTAGCACGAGGAATCTTGCCACCTAATCGCTCAAGTGGTCATATGTACTTGAAAAATTTACGTAAAACTAGGGGGGGGAGCTGAAATTAAAAGGTGACGCCTATTAACTGCTGAAAACTGGTAAAATCTAATGTTGTCACTAATTGACCGCACAAAGAAAATATTTTCGAATTTAAAAGGATTACTGATTGATGGGGTTGCATTGCAGTGAGTAGGCAAAAAAAAAAAAAACAAAGTGAGGTAATGCAAATTGATGATAAATGATTTTGAGCGATTTGGCGAATGGAATAGGCGCGTTGCACACGCCTGTCAACAAAGAAATTTGTATGGTACCGAAATGTCGGTAAATGTTGATGTTTGAGTTGCAGTACTGAAATTTGTTATACGACAACAAAGTAATGGTGCAAAAAGCTTGTCTACAGCGTATGCAAACATATTGATATGTTTTGTAAGAGATAGTGTGCTTAGCAACGACTGTAAGGCGAGTGTAAATAAAATCAAGGCGAAGGGTCAGCTGTTATTGCAGGAAGTGTGTGCATGATACAGGTATAAAAGGAGCACCTGTAAGGACATTTATGAGTACATATGTATGTATGTATGTATGTCGGTATGTCCTCCAACTCGTTTTCATTTGTCCCTATACTCGCTGTATGACCTCATTTTCGCCAACCATTTTTATGGGCACTCCTGTGTCTGCTGGTTCGCAGCGCCCGGCTGAATTTGAATACATAGAATAGTTATTGTTTGCTGGCCACACTTTCTACACTAGTCGCTCTAGCGTTGGTGTAGTTATGAGCCACTCGGCCAACAAGCGATGGGTATATTAATGCATGGTCGGCAAAGTAAATAAATCGATAACACCCCCGACTATATATTAAATGAAGCAAACGGAAATGAGAAATTAAATTTTTTTTTTACTCAATTGCTACCACGTGCATTTCAAGTTTTATTAATTTTAGGCGAGGACCCTAAAGGAGAAGGGGGCACTTACTAAGTTTCCGATCGTCCGAGCGGTAGAACATTAATTTGAAGCGGTCTGGAGAAACAATACTTGAGCAGCATGCATGAATTTTTAAAAGATTCTAAGGAAGCGGGTGAGCACAGCCGATTGCTAACTATATCCATTAAATCCCGCCACAAACAAAAAAGCAGGTGGACAATTACTTAAATTACACGCTAGTCATTCATGTAAGCAAGCAACCAAACAATCAATCAATCAGTTACAATTGTACATACACGCTTCATTATTCAATTGATATTTTGTGTTTTGAACAAAAAAAAATAATAATGGGATTAAGAGGCAGGTACATACCTACTAGTATGTATGTATGTGGGCAAAAAAAAGTGAAATAAAATTACGAAGTATTTTCTTCTTTATCGGGCTTACACTAACTTTTATGTCACTTTGGCTTATAGCGTATTCACACGCATGTTTTTTTATATTATT